AGCCTGCACCCTCGAGGAATGCAGACCATCGTAAAACAAAAAGCCTTCGGAGGCCCGCGCGGATGCCTCTTGGCTCGGCGCTGACCCCCCCCCCTGGCGCGCGCCGCCCGGGAGGCCCCGCGCCGATCCGAGCAGTCCGCGCGGGCCTCCGAGAACCCGTGTGAGTGCGGCGCTCTGCTCTCCTCGGCCCTCGAACCCCAGGCGAGGCCGTCCTCCAGCGCCGCCGTTGGGCCGCGCCCTTCGAACCCTGAGCCTCGACCTCCCAGGCCTCGATCCTCGACCTGAGATCATCGATCATCGGGCCTTGATCCTCGATCTTCGACACTCGACCCTCGAAGCGCAGGCGTGGCCGTCCTCCAACGCCGCAGCCCGGCTGCGCTCCTGGCTCACCTCGGCCTCCAGGCGCGCCGCCGCCGCCCGCGCCTCCGCCAGCGCGGCCTTGCGCGCGCTGGCCGCTGCGCGCTCCTCGCGGGGCGTGGGCCGCGGCCGTCGGCGGCGTCATCGCCGTCGTCGCCGACGGTGCCGTCGCCGTCGCCGTCGCCGTCGCCGTCGGGGCAGGGGCTTTCTGGGAAGGCCGCAGAGACCTCGAATGCGTGGTGAAGCTGGGCGGGCTTCTAAGAAGTCGGGACGATGCCTCCCACCGCCCCCCGCGCTCGCGAGGGGCAACGACTGGCAGGGGGGGTCTGGCTCAGTGGGCGCGGGCGGGACACCGACCTGGAATCGGCGGTGTATCGCCGATAGATCGGCGTCAGGCCCCCATAGCGAAGCCCGCGCGTTCCTGGGCGGGGTGGGCCATCAGGCCCCTATCGGCGATGAATGGGCGATTTGGGGTCGATCCTATCCCCCCTGACGTTGCCCTTGAATTGTGAACGTGTTCTTATTCGGTGTTTCGGCATTGGGCGGAAGGGGGTGAGGGGTTGGGTCTGGCTCTGGACCTCTGCTTGATACGAGTGTTTGCACCACTGCGTCCTATGGGGGAGACTCCACCTGCTCCAAGCAGGCGCCAAGAACTGCCAAGATCTACTCCATAGGGGGGGGGGGGGGGGGGCGAGGGGGGGGGGGCGAGGGCCCGCGCCGATCGGCAAAACAATGGTTAAGAAAACGATCACATTCATAGAAGGAGGCTGCTCCTTAGAAGGCGAAGGCCTCACATCTACAGATGCGGCCCGCACCGCTTCTGAGAAGCCTCCCCCCTCCCGCACAGCCCTCTCCGCGCGCGGCCGACGACACCTCACGGGGGCCGAGGCTGCTTCGAACCGCACCCCCCTCGTCGGCCTCGTGGCGGCCTGGCCCGGAGGCCCCGAGCCGCAAGAGGTTGCCACCACTCTGGGAAGGGGCGGGGGGGGGGCAGCGCTCGCCCCCGCTGGCGGTGCCGCCCGCCTTTTCCGCCGGCAGAGCCGCCCTCGCTCTGCACCTTCCGCCCTCGCTCGAGGAGGCCCAAGCCTTAAGTCGGGCGTGTCCCCCTACAGGGAGAACTTCGACGAAAAATGAAAGATACTACAACATATTCCCAAATGGTAAAAAAAACGCAACAAATAATCCCCACACTATTTTTGACTATTTTGGAATATCCCCCCTGTAGAAGGCCAGGCCCGACTTTACCCAAGCCTCCGACGCCGTGGAGCTGCCACAACGTTAGTATCAGGGGAAGGCGACACCAACACCACCAGGGCGACGAGATGCGAGGAGCGATGGGGGGGGTCTCCCTGGTGGTGCGGTCCCCCCTCTCGCTCGAGACATCCCCGGCCTCCAGCTCGGGGAGGTATCGTGGACCTCCTGGCTGGAGGTGGCCCCCCTGGTGGTGTTGGCGTCGCTTCTCCGGGAGGCACAGGAGACCTACCAGGACTACATGTCCTCCTTGGAGGCGCGCGTCTCACCCGAACATGTCGTATTCCCATATTGTAGCAGATCGTTTCCCGAGTGGTGTGGCCAGAAAGCGCCCGCCACGGCGCATAGTCCGTAAGACTGCTCGGTGCGCGCGTCGCCCCTTCGGGGGCGACGCACACATAGGATAAGTATGTTGGGATGACGCCAAATTCTCCTCCCCCCAGCAGCGTGGACCAGCACAAGAGTGACCCTGGGTAAGAGTGACCTTTGGTGCGCGGCTTCGTGGGGGGCCGCGGGGGGACCAAACCTGGGCGCGCAGGCCGCTGCTCCTGCTTCGTTTCCAGCCATCTGGGGACCCATCTGTGCCCGCACCAAAGGTCACTCCTGCGAAAGGCCACTCTTGCGTCTAGTCGAGCCAAGGCCGCCACGGTGCTGGAGTCCAAAGCGCCAGACACCAGCCAGCTGCAGTCACTGCGGGCGGCAGCCCCGGCCTCGCTGCCGGCCCGCAGGGTCTCCGGAGCGCGGTCTTCGGCTGCCTCCTGCGGCCGCCGCCGAGCCGCCTCCTGCTGCTTGAGCAGGGACCGACCGTGCCGGCATTTCTTCAGTCCTACCACGAAATCTTCTCAGACCCCCAAAATGTTCTAATAACAAAACAATGCGCTCAGAACGTAAACGCGCTGTGTTGAAACAAGACAGGCTCCGCCAGAAACGTTCTAAGAACATGTCGTGGGAAACCACGAAAGGTTCTTAGAACATTGCTCGGTAGGGCTATGGGCGAGCCGGGACGCTTCGCCACTGCTTGCCCAAAGCCGCCACGGTGCTGGAGTCCAAGGCGCCAGACACCAGCCAGCTGCAGCCACTGCGGGCGGCAGCCCCGGCCTCGCTGCTGGCCCGCACCAAAGTTGGCGGCGCGCACAAGGGGGTGGGGGGAGGGGGGAGGGCTTCTTAGAAGGAGGCTGCTTCTTAGAAGGCGCCGGCCTCACGTATATAGATAAAGCCGGCGCCTTCTAAGAAGCAGGGGTGCTTCTAAGAAACCCCCCCCCCTCCCCCCTCTGCGCGTGGCTGACAAAGGTCACTCCGGCGAAAGGTCACATTCATGCCTGGCCGACAGGTCTGGACCCCCTCCGCGGGCGACCGGGCCTCCCACCCCGACGCCGCCCGTCCTGGACGGCCCCACCCCTGGGCCGGCCGAGGGCCCGCCGGGGGGCCGAGACAGGGGGGGCAGGCGCCCCCCGGGTGGAAATCGAGAAGTCGGCTCGGCGATCGGCACGAATCGGATCGACGGAAATCGGCAGCCGAGCCGGGGAAAATCGAATCTTTGGGCGGCCGACATGGGAACGGAAAGAATGGGTACACTGCCCAACAACAAGTGTTGTCCCAAACCAACAGCGGCCGCTGTTGGGCAGGCGGCCTCCTTTCTCGAATCGACACAGGCCGCGGCGGGGTGGACAGCGAGTCCTGCTCAAAATGAACAGGATCTGCTGTTGGGCATGGTACCCATTCTTTCAGTACCCATTTCGTGCGTGCAGAGAATCGGCGAGAATCAGCGGCTAGTATGCCTCCAACAAGAAATCGGAGCCCAAATCGGAATCCCAAGTCGAGCCGAATCTGAATCGGAAGCCATCGGAATCGAATCGAATCGAATCGGACGAGTCGACATGAGCCCGGAAGGGTGAGGAGCCAGCTGGCAGAGCCGGCCGCCGCGGTTTTGTCCACGGCTCGCGGTGGTCTGGGGATATCGGCTTCTGGACCCCTCGAGGTGGCCCAGAGATCCGACGCTCAAAGAAAAATTGGAGCAGGTGTTTTATGGCAGTTTTCAGCCTCTGCGGGCCTCGGGACCGTCAACAAAACGACCCAGAACGAAACACCGGCCCGGGGAAGTGGTCCAGACCGCCCGGGGCCCACGCATCGAAAAAGTGGAGCACCCAGATGTCTGGGGAGAGAAAGGTGCATACTCCAAGTTTCGTAATAAAAGGGAGGGGGTCTGGACCCTCCAGGACGAGCCATTTCAGACCCCCCCTGGTGGGAGAACCCTCCAAAACGTCGTCCCCAGACCCCCCCAGGCCCTCCAAGATGGCCTGGAAGAGACCCCCCCCCGAAATGAGACCCCCCTCACTTTATTACGAAATCTGGAGTAGGCAAGATGCTGAAAAAATCCCCTTCCGCCCCCCTGCTGTCCGCCAGTCGGCGCACTGGCCGCTCGTGGTCCGTGAGCGTCCGCGAAGGAACAACGGCGAGACTCGGGGGCGTCCAAGAGGGAGGAGGAGGAGGAGGAGGAGGAGGAGGAGGAGGAGGAGGAGGAGGAGGAGGGAGGGAGGAGGAGGAGGAGGAGGAGGAGGAGGAGGAGGAGGAGGGGGGGGGAGGAGGAGGAGGAGGAGGAGGAGGAGGAGGAGGAGAGGGAAGGAGAACCAGGGGGAGGATGAGGAGGAGGAGGAGGAGGCAACCAAGAAGAGGGCTCGCAAATCGTGGCCCGAGGTACGCGCGCGGCCCCGGGGGGGCCCAAGGGCCTTTCGTAACAGGCAGGGGCGCCCATGGAACCCGGGCGCTTCCCTCTCAGCGGCTCCCGAGAAGCCACGAGCAGTGGATGCTCGTACTTTGGGAGACCTGGAAATTGGCACCAACATCAGCACAGGGGGTTGCCTCCACAGGGGGAAGGTGATCCTAGATTTCGGTGTTGGTGGTAATATTTCGGTCACCTTGGAAGCCAGAATGTTACCACCATCACCGAGATCGGGATCGTCTTCCCTCGGTGGAGGCACACCGCCGATCTTGGTGTTGGTGTCAATCTCTAGGACTGCGGTACCTCAGGCTCCCAGCGGATCTGGCGTACGCCTGGAAGCACCGGCACCAACACCCACAGCCAACCCTCGACAGTCGTCGTCGTCGTCGACAACGTTCGTTCGTTCGTTCGTTCGTTTTTTCGTTCGTTCGTTCGCCCGTTCGTTCGTTCGTTTTTTCGATCGTTCGCTCCAGCATCGTGGTCGTCGCCGTCGTCGTCGCGTCGTCGTCGTCTTCGTCTTCGTCGTCGTCGTTCCGTTATTCCGTCGCCGTCGCCGTCGCCGTCGCCGTCGCCGTCGTCGTCGTCGTCGTCGGTCGTCGCCGTCGTCGTCGTCGTCGTCGTCATCGTCATCGTCGTCGTCGGCCCCTGGGGAGAGGGCGCGCGTGCGCGGCGCCGCTCCTCGCGCAGGGCGCGCTCCGTGGCGGAGAGATGCCCCTCGATGTCCCGTAGCCGCCCCTGGCGATCCTGCAGCTCGCGGGCCATCGCCTGGCGGCGGCGGCGGCTGGGGTCCTCCTCCATCTTCTCCTCCTCCTCGTCTTTCCCGTCCTCCTCCGTTCTCCTCCGTTCTCCTCATGCTCCTCCTCCTCCTCCTCCTCCTCCTCCGCCTCCGTCTCCTCATCCGTCTCCTCCTCCTCCTCCTCCTCCTCCTCCTCCGCCTCCGCCTCCTCCTCCTCCGCCGCGGGGGAATCGGATCGACTCGGCGGGAGGACGCGCCGTGCGCCGCAGCGCCGTTGGCAAGCCGTTGGACTCCCCCCCGCTCTGGGGGGCCCCGACCTCGAGGCACCCGCAGCTGCATTTGCACCCCGCTCTGCCCAACAACGCGGGGTGGGGGGGGAAACGATCACTGCGACACCATTAGATAGGAACGGTGTTTTTTCGCTAGCCTCGCTCGACGATGGGACCGCTCAGAGGTGCTGGAGCGTCCGTGCACACGCCTGAGCCTCGAGCATGAGAGGCTACGGAACAGAGAGCGGCACCATCCAGCCTCGGGAACCTGCCGTTCGTTCGTGCTTCTCAGGAGCCCAACAAGGACGGCTGGCTGGACACGGTATCGAAGCGGTCCCCGAGCCGAGCGGATGTCCAACAGACGATCTCAGGAATCATCGGCCCCGTCGGACAGGGCCGCGGGAGCAGCTCTCCGTCCGACCGCCGCAGCCGCTCGGAGCGACGAGGAGCACCCCGCCGTGGGCCCGCGGCCTGCCGTGGGGCTTCGTAGGCCCGCCGGGCGAGGACAGGGACAGGGAGAGGGCGGATTGGCGGAGGCCAGGGAGAACGAACGGCAAAAACACAACGCGTGAGATTGGAGGCACCAAGAGGCCCCAAGATGGCCCCGAGATGGCCCCAAGAGGCCCCCCGGAGGCCCCCAAGAGGATCCCAAACGGCCCAAAGAGGCCCCCCCGAGGCACCCAAGACGCCGAAAAGCCCCTCAGGACGACCCTCTACTCGCCTGGGCGTCGTTTCTGGACGGGCTGGTGGGGATACGCGAAGCGTCTAGAATTGGCACCAACACCAGCACAGGGGGTTGCCTCCACAGGGGGCAGGTGATCCTAGATTTCGGTGTTGGTGGTAATATTTCGGTCACCGCGGACGCCAGAATGTTACCACCATCACCGAGATCGGGATCATCTTCCCTCGGTGGAAGCACACCGCCGATTTGGGTGTTGGTGTCAACCTCTAGGCCTGCGATGATAGCATGTGACCAATCCAACCACTCGTTCTGCAAAAATACGGGGCCGAACTCTATACACCGACGCTGTTTCCGGCCCCACACCGGAACTCGCACACGACAGCGGATCCTGGTGTATACGGGATCCTGGTGTATACATTTGTCGTCGCTTCCCCGGGAAAGCGGGGGAAAAGGTATACACCACACCACCCCGACGTCGCCTTCGACCCTGAACAATTCCTGGGATTGCAAAACAGCCCGCCACTGGTAACGCATATGCTGCAGCTTCCGATAATAATCCACCAAACATGTTCGAAGCCCCACAACGGAATATAGCAGGGACTCCTCCGGAATAGCCGCGACAAACCAGCGCCCCACTCGAAACGTCGATGACAGCCCTTGTGACATGCAAAAAGGGCCTCTACACTACCATATTGGAAGCCGAACAGAGCACCATGAATTGCGAGTGTCACGAACAACCATCTGGCGAGGCACAATGGACTCTGAATACGCACAGGCGCCTCACACGACGAGAAATGAAGGAATGCCCCTGTCGGGCTCGGCTGGGAGCTCCGCGCCAAAGCGGTCGACCCCTGCGGCTGCCTCCTCGGCTGGAACGCTGGCGGCCCTCGCCTCTGCCACCGCCAGCTCTCGAGAGCGACCCAGCCCGTCGTTCCGGGTAGCCTCGCGCGCCAAAGCCGCCACGGTGCTGGAACGAAAAGCGCCAGACATCAGCCAGCTGCAGTCACTTCGGGCCAGGAGCCCCGGCCTCGCTGCCGGCCCGCAGGGTCTCCGGGGCGCGGTCTTCGGCATGCCTCCTGCGGCCGCCGCCGAGCCGCCTCCTGCTGCTTGAGCAGGGACCGGCCGTCCCGGCATTCCTACAGTCCTATACGTCCTACCTCGACATGTTCTCAAACCCAAGAATGTTCTCATAACCAAAACAAGGTCCTTAGAACATAAGCTCGATGTGCTAAAACACGACGATAGCAGCGAGACATGTTCTGAGAGCATTTCGTGGAAACCACAAAAGGCTCTCAGAGCATTGCTCGGTGGGGCTATAGGCGAGCCAGGACGCTTCGCCACTGCTTGAGCTGCGCCACGCGGCGGTCGGCCAGCGCCTGGCAGTCTGCCTGCCCTGCCGCCTCCGCGCCGGAAATCGCCTCGCGCAGCGGCCCCCCGCGTCCAGCGCTGGCAGCGGCCACTTCGCCAAGTCCACTACAAGCTAGACGCTGAAATAAGGAGCACTTTGGGTTCGGAGGGGGCTCGATGTTCCTTCGATACTTCCGTGGCTGTCTCTCTAGCGTTCGTCGTCCTCGCAGGCGCTTGTGGGGCCATGAAGGGGCTCCGTTCCGTCTTTGGCATTCCTTCTTTCGGCAGCCAAACTGCAGCGCCGCAGCGCCATGGTCGATTCCTGGACCAAGAACGACTCCAGCATCGGGAGCGGCCAAGAGGGGGGTGTCAGAGAGGAGGGGGTGCAAATCATGACCGGCGGCACGTGCGCGGCCCAGGCGGGGGGGCCCGGGACGCAATGAAATCAGAGGAGGCGCCATGAGATCTGGGAAACATCATGGCCCCCGCCATGATATCCCCCACCCCCTAGTCATCACCCCCCTCCTTGCCGCCTACGACTGCAGGACCGCCGTCGCCATCTTAGGCGAGTTCTCCGGGGCAACTCGGGCTTGGATTCCCGAAAAACGAACCCGAGTCAGCCCTGACCCGAAATATCCCTGATGATTTGGGGCTCTGGACGCCCGAGTTGTCCGGGGCAACTCGGGCCCGGGGCAACTCGGGTTCGGATTCCCGAAAAACGAACCCGAGTTAGCCCTGACCCGAGCTATCCCTGATGGTTTGGGGCTCTGGACGCCCGAGTTATCTGGGGCAACTCGGGCCCGGGGCAACTCGGGCTCGGATTCCCGAAAAACGGACCCGAGTTAGGCCTGACCCGAGTTGCTTCTGAGGAGGAGGAGGAGGAGGGGGAGGAGGAGGAGGAGGAGGAGGAGGAGGAGGAGGAGGAGGAGGACTCTGACCATCCTCGCCGGCACTGGCATCGCTCTGCGCGGCGCCGGCTTCCGGTACACGGAGGTGCTCACGGGGCCGGGCGCCAGCAGCGCCACGTGGGGCAGCACGAAGGCCACCGTTGCGGGAAATGTCTATATCCACATCCAGTGCGTCTTGGAGTTTCGGGCTCTCTTCCCCAAAAACATGAGGCGCACTGGATATGGATTAAAATCTGGCCCCAGAAGACTAGATTTTATCCATGTCCAGTGCGCCTCGGCCTTGCGGCGCCCCTCCCAAGAAAATCCAAGACGCACTGGAGATGGATATAAGCATTGCCCGCACCCGTGCGGACCGGTCCGAGCATCCCCATTGGCACGCGAACGGAGCGCAGGAGCCGCTACACGGAGTCCACGTCGAAGTCTGCCAGGAGCGACGTCGGGCGTGTCCCCCTACAGGGAGATTTTCAACGAAGAATAACAGATACTCCAAAAATGCTCCAAAACGGTGAAAAGATACTCAAAGAGTAGTCCCCAGACTATTTTTTTACTAGTTTTGAATCTTCCCCCTGTTGAGGGACAAGCCCGACTTCAGCCTACCACCTGGGGCCGGTTCTAGATCGGCGTTGCTCCGGACGCCTGTGTCCAGGATGAGCGCCCGCCGCCGCGCAACGGCAGCAGCACCACTCACGGAGGGGACAACCTGAGCACGAGGGAGACTTGGCACCTCCGCAGATCCCACTGGCTCGTCTGTGAGCATGCCCCGTCCGCACGGCGCGCCAGCTGCACCAGCACCGCCGGCACTTCTGGTCGCATCGGCGCGAGTGCTCCAGCGCAGCACGGTCGCCGGCGCCTCGCCAGGCAGTGTGACTGGCCGCCACGCTGCTGGCGAGCCGCGAAGTGGCGCGGCAGTACGATCTGCGCGGCGCGCACCTGCGCGCGCGCGGCCCGTGCGCGCCCAGAGGTCGCCGAACGGCGGGGGCGCCCAGCGCGCCAGGGCGGGTCCATCGCGCGGAGAGGGTGGCGAGGACGACGGAGGGCGGGAGAGAGGGTCAAGCGGCGGGGGCCGCGGGGCTCTGGCTCGCAGCCTCCTCGGAGGCGACCTGAGCCCAGGCCGGGGTGGGGGAAGGCGGGGGGATGAGGGCGAACCATCGGGGGATGGGGGGGGCGCGACGTTTCGAGGCTCGAGCCTCGAGGTTCGAGCTCGGGTTGCCGGACGTCCTCGGTGGTTCTCGGTGGCTTTGCAGCCTCGGGATGCCTTGCAGCGGCTGCGCCTCGCCGACCACGCTGCAGCTAACAGATGAAGGAGGAGAACGAGGAGGATGAGGAGGACGAGGCTCGGAAAGGTCGAGTAGGAGAAGAGACCGAACCCGACCTCGTCCTCGTCCGCTCCCTCGATCTTATCGACCTCCAGACCTCGTTCTCCTTCTTCTCGACCTCCTCGACCTCCTCCTTGACCTCCTCGACCTCCTCGACCTCCACTTGGGCGGGTGGTAATGGGGGGTGACCTACATTGGGGGTGAAGACAAGGGCCTCTGTAGAGCTTTCCGTCACCCCCCATGAAGGTCACCCCACATTGCCACCCGCCCGATCCACGACCTCCTCCTCCTCCTCCTCCTTCTCCTCCTCCTCCTCGTCATCCTTCCCATCCTCCTCGAGCGCAGCCAAAGCCCTCCGACCTCCTCCGTCTCCTCAGTCTCCTCCTCCTCCTCCTCGATCGGCCACCTCGCCCTCCTCGCCCTCCTCGACCTCCTCCTCCTCCTCCTGTTCTTATTATTATAGTTATTTTCAGTAGTATTATTCTTCTGTTTTCGAAATGTATTATTGTTGTCAGTCGTAATATGCATCGCCTCAATACTAGTATTATCATAATTCTGGTCATGGCTCTTCTTCTTCTTCTTCTTCTTTTCCTTCAGCTGCCTCTTATTCTTCTGACTCGTATCATTATTATGATTCCTCCTCCTCCTCCTCCTCCTCCTGCTGCTCTTCCATCTCCTCATCCTCCTTATCCTCCTCCTCCTCTTCCTCCCCACCATCATCATTATCATCATGAGCAGCATCAGCATCATCAGCAGCAGCAACATCAACATCAGCATCACCACCATCAGCATCATTAGAGTCATCACCGTCGGCGTCGTCGTCACCACCCTCGTCGTCATCATCATCAGCATCATCACCATCATCATCACATCATTATCAGCCTCAGCATCAGCGTCATCATTATCATCATCATTATCGTCATGAACGTCATCATCATCATCATCAGCATCATCAGCATCCTCATCCTCAGCATCATCAGCATCCTCATCATCATCACCAGCATCATCATCATCGCCACCACCACCATCATCATCAGTATAACCATCGTCATCGTCGTGCTCATAAACATCATCATCATACTCATCACCACCACAAGCAGCATAATCATGATCATAATCATTATCACCACCATCTTCATCAGTATCATTACCATCGTCGTCGTCATAATCAGCATCATCATCATCATCAGGATCAACCACATCATCATTACCAGGATCACCATCGCCGTCATCGGCATCGTCATCGTCATCGTCGTCATCATCATCATCGTCGCAATCATCGGCATCATCATCATCATCATCATCATCATCATCATCATCATCATCATCATCGTCATCGTCATCATCATCATCATCATCATCATGGTCATAATCATCGTCATCATCATCATCATCATCATCATCATCATCATCATCATCGTCATCGTCATCGTCATCGTCATCATCATCGTCATCATCATCAGCAGCAGCATCATCATCATCAGCATCATCAGCATCATCAGCACCACCATCGTCATCAAATTCCTCCTCCTCCTCCTCCTCCTCCTCGATTCCAGGAGGAGGGCGAGGAGGAGGTACTGCCGCGCGCGGTGACAGCGGGCTGGGAGCGCCTGGAGCCTTGCCTTCTGTATGCCAGCCTCCTGGGCGGCGCTGAGCGTCGTCGTTCGTCGCCGTTTTCGCCGTCGTCGCCGTCGTCGTCGCCGTCGTCAGGTCGAAGACCGAAGGTCGAGGCTCGCAGTCGAGGGTCCAGGGTGAAGGTTTCGAACGTTTTGTCTTGCCTGCTGCCCTCTGGGGGGGCGCACCTCGTGGCCACGGCTGGGCCCGCCCCGATATCGGGGTCCGGACGCGTTCCAGGACAGGTCTTGGGGTCGCCGACGTCGTCGTCGCGGTCGGTCGCCCGTCGTCGTCCATCGCTTCCGTCGTCGTTCGCCATTCGTCGTCCGTTGTCCGACGTTCGTCCTTCGTCGTCATCGTCTTCGATGTCGCTGGGTGTCGTTCGAGGATGGGGGGGGTCGAGGGAGGAGGACGACGAGGAGTCGCATCATTCCTCCTCCTCCTCATCATCATCCTCCTCTTCCTGCTACCCCTCCTGCTGCTCCTCGCTCGTTCCTCCCCGTCCTTCTCCCCCCTCCTTCGTTTTCAGTCGCCGCGCCTCCTGACGACCCGCCGCCAGCCGCGGCTGGGCTGCGGCCGGGGCGCGAGAAGCCCCCAAGGGCCAGCAAACAGGCAGATCGCCGAACCTCCCAAAGGATGACTTTGGGAGCCGGCTCGGCTGAGGAATGGTGTTTGTGTTAAGCCGGGCGCGTCCCTCTACAGGAGGATTTTCGACGAACCAATGTTTCAAAACATACTCCAAAACTAGAACCACGCGCGCGCTTCGCGCGCGCTTAGGTTCTAGCAAGCGCAGGCGCTTGACAATACCACGGCTGCGCGCATTGACAAAGTCACGGTTGCACGAATGCACGTACCGACGAATGGCTTCATCAACATGGGCCTGGCCCCAGCACAGAATGGTCTCTTGGGCGCCGCCGGGGGTTAGTCCAGGGTCTCGCTGGGTGTTTGCGGCCCATCTCACTGTGGAGCTCACGCTGTACAATATGATTACTCGATCAAGCGAAGCCAAATGTATGGGGGAGCGGGCAAGGAGGGACTGAGGGGAGGGGGGCGAGAGAGAGGAGGGAAAATAACAAATGAAACCGATGCCCCAGCGTCCGCTTGTGCCAGGAACGAATGCGCCGGATGGCATGACCCACTGGGGGACTTTTCGGAGGGAAGGGGAGGGGAAAAGGAGGGCGGTTCCAGGAGAGGCCCTGGGAGGTTGCCAAAAAGGCCTTGAACGACTACAGCAGGGCGCGACCTCAAGTCTCGCGGGAACCTCCAAGCGTGTCTTGTTTGTGGACCCCCTTGGGGCCTTCCTCCGGGCACCGGGCCTTCTCTTGACGGCTCCGGAGGGCCAGAGCCACCCCAACAGGGTTCCAACAGTGTCCCGAACAGTGCAACACAGGCTCCACATGAAGTTCTGCGGAAAACGCAACATAATCCAACGGATCATTAGAGCGGAGGTGGTTTAGCGCGTTTATTCTTCCAACCCTTTTCTTTCCCTTCGGGGATGGGCTGACTCCTCCCCCCACCCTCTCCCCCTGGACCTGAGGGGGATGGCCGCGGGTCATTGGGGCGTCCAAGATGGCGCCAAGAGGGCCAGCGAAAGCCCAAGATTACATTCAAGATACCCCGAGATACTCTAAGATCGCTCTCAAGATGGGTTCTCGCATGCTCGAAGCCTCCCAAGGGGGGCCCCCAAGAGACCCACATCCTGAAACCAACTGGATAAAATCGATGATTTGGGTTTTCTCGTCCTTTCGCTTCACATAAGCTCCCGAAGCCTGAATACGGCTCCAATGCGGCCGAAGAGGGCCCCAATAGAGGCCCAAGAACGCCCCACGACTGCCCCAAGAGCGCCCAAGAGCGATCCAAGAGCGCCCCAAGAGGCAACTGTTTGGGGCTCAAGAGTTTCGACGCAAATTAGGGGCATCCCCTCTTTGATAAACGAAAACATGGAAAACAACACAATGGTTTCGAAGGATGCGAGCTGTTCGGGGGTTCCTTCGGAGGCTTTTGGCCCAAGAGGGCTCCAATATTGCCCCAGATGCATTAAGATGGCCTCCGAGACGGCGCAATGTGGTTCAAGTCGGCTCTATATGGCTTCGAAGAAGCCTCCAAGTGGACCCATGCTGGCCCCAAGATGGGTCCAAACGGCAACAAAAAAAACCAAAGAGGCCCTAAGAAGCCCAAGCCGCTCCAGAACTCAAAGAAAATCAATGATGTTGGCCCTCTCGCCCTTTCGCTTCCAATGAGAAGTGCAAATGCAATGACGTGACTGTCAGAGGCGTGGTGAAAGAATGTTCCGCTCGTGATGTTGGAATCATTCATGCACGCAATTGCAACACATCAGGCCTAACAGCGCATGTGGTCAGGAGGGATGGTGGGACAGAACCAGGAGCAGCGAGGCAGTAATCCGTGCGCGTGTTTCATAATTGTTCCGGCAGTTGTTGGCGTCAACTCCTAGGCATGCGCCTGCAATGGCACACTCGAAGTGATGCAGTCGTTGCTTGGCGGGGTGGTTGGGCCAACGATGCAGGCGTGATGATGCAATGTGTCGTGGTTGTGGTTGCAGGGATGCAGACGCAACGATGCAGGTGTTCAGGCTCACGGAAACATTGGATCAGGTGCCATGGTGCACGGGCCGCGCTGGATGGCTGAGGCGGCGTGGGATGAAGGCGCAAGTGCGTTGCTGCTATGGCTTCGGAGGTTGTCGATGGGAAAGCTCCAGCAGCGCATGACTCAACGGGGGGCATGACCCCCTTCTGCCCCCCCCCCCGTCCTTGAGGCTTCATGCTTGGAGGCGCCTGATGTGTGACAGTGTGGGAGGGAGTGGCCCGACATACGTAGCGCGGGGAGGCAAGGTGGCTCAGGTGCAACAGTGGGACTGTTCAGGCGGCATCTGCGCACTGGCGAATTTGATCATACGCGGCGATGAGGCGGATCAAACGTGGGGAAAGCACGACCCCCTGGGGTCACCAGGCAACGCTCCCTGTGGGTTCCTGGTGCCCCGGGGGGTTCTTCACCCACTGAAAAGCGAAGACGAAATACGCGGCGCGACCCCAACGTGATCGGCGCGGTTCGTTACGCTGAAAAATGGGATGTGCACCACGGTCCTCGTCTTCCTCCTTTTCCACCTCCTCGTACACCTCCTCGACCTCTTCACTCCTCCTCCTCCTCCTCCTCCTCCACCTCCTCCTCCTCCTCCTCCTTCCTCCTCCTCCTCCTCCTCCTCTTCCTCCTCCTCCCCCTCCTCCTCCTCCTCCTGACCATTGTGGTTCGAACTGATCTCGGCCATCTTGCCCTTCTCTTGGGGCCGTCGTGAGTCCTGGGACCAAATCAACAGGAGGGCAACGGGTGAAGCCGCCACCGTGCCTGTGTTGTGGGTCAGAAGCATATTGGATGCTTGTTGGGGTCTCTTGCGGAGCTTCCAAAGAGCATTTTCGATGCAATTCTGATGCCTCGTGGGGCGCGTCCGTGGTTGCTTGCGGACTGCAGGGGCTTCTTTGGGGCCTTCAGTGGGCTTCGTGGGGCCTCTGGACTGCTTCTTGGGGGGAGGCAATTTTGAAATGTTTCGAAGCCTCCCGGGGGCCGTTTTGGGGCATCTTGGGGCCTCTTTGGGGTCTCTGATGGGGGCATTTTTAAGCCTCTTGGGGCCTCTTGGGGTCCTCTTGGGGGCCTCTTGGAGCGGAAGTCTCCATTGTCGGTTCGTGTTCCCCCTCTTTGGCACCTCTTGGGGCCGCCTTGAAGCCCTCTTGGGCCGTCTTGGGCGCCTCTGGGCGCCCTCTTGGGCTGTCTCGGGGGCCTCTCGGGGGCCTTTTGGGCCGTCTTGGGGCGATGTTCGAGGCTTCCTCGGCAATCTTGGGAGGTCAGAAGCCCGAAAACGCGGGCAAGCAAAAAACATGGAAAAACACAGTGACAATCCATGATTTTAGCCTCTTGGGGCTCTCTTGGAAAGCCTCTCGGAGCGCCCCTGGGGTTTCTTGGGGGCCCCTTGGGCCTGGATGGGGCTATCTTGAAAGTCTTGGAGCGGTCTTGGGCCGTCTTGGCGGCTTCTTGCCGTCCCCGGAAGCCGTGGTGGACGCCTCTGGGGACGCAAAACAGCCTCCAGACGCCCGGGGGCAAAGTGGGTTACGGGGGGGGGGGGGGGGGGAAATTCGGGAGGGTGTCCCAGCCCGGGGCCCTGGCCCACGGTACCCCGGACGCCCGGGGGCAAAGTGGGTTACGGGGGGGGGAATTCGGGAGGGTGTCCCGGCCCAGGGCCCTGGCCACCGGTACCCCGGTATATGATATGATATGATATGATATATATGTATATATATGTACATATATACATATATACATATATACATATACATACATACATATATACGCGCAAAACATACTTTGACAAAGTCCCCATATTACTTTTTGGCTCGTTTGGAATATTCCTCCTGTAGAGGGAGAGGCCCGACTTAATGCTTGCGTTGGAGCCCGTTCGGCTGCCGAGGGGGCCATGTTACCACCGCCCCGTCGGGAAGTGGGTCCACTCCGCTGTTGAGCGGCTGGGCGGGCTCAGGCGACCCTTTGCCAGGACCCGATCGTCGCTCTGAGCCCCACTCGGGGCGCGCGCTCCCCAGAAAATCTCGAGGCGAGTCTTGCCGTGGCGAAGGATATTTTTTCACCAGGAGGCCCATCTGCATGCCAGCCGCTCGTGTATAAGACGCGCCTCCAGGCAAAGTCATACGGCACAGTCTTGCCGTGGCGACGGAAAAGACCCGCCAAAGGCCAAAAGCATCAGAGAGATTCCAGCGCCGGAGTCCTCTGCCCTGGGGGCCTGGGGCGTCGAACCTCGAGCGTCGATCCTCGAACCCAGACGCACGGCGTCGTAATTTTTCATGGAGTGGACCCCTGGAGGTCTGGACCCCTTCCCCGGGGCCAGTTCCTCACACGAGCCATCTTAGCTGCTGACCCAGGGGCCCAGCGAAGACCCTTAGAACCACATAGTAGCGAAAAAAACCTCCCGTCACGATCGGAGTGAATGGATTCCGCTTGCGCGAATCCGTTTGAAGGCGTGCGCGCGTTGGCTGTTCTGGGGCACGCAAAAGACGTCGCGTTTATTCAGTTGCTGTTCCTGTTCCTTGTGTTACAACTTGTCAGACCTAATCGTTGTATTGTATCTGATTTCTTTATCGAATGATTAACTTGCATCAGGATGATTATGCTGTACAAGACTAGTATTGATATTGCAACTATTTGTCGTGGCCTGTGTTCGTACAATTAGAATTGCTCTGCTGATTCGTATGATCATTACCGTTACCATTCCGGTCATTGATGGTACTATCGTTGTTTACTAGTCTTGGCTGTACTCTCTCATTACTAGAATTAGTACTCATATTACTAACACTCGTAATCATAATACCATTGCTCTTTTCATGCGTTTTGGTTCCAGCTTGTTTTTGTGTATACTGTGCGTTTTCTGTTTCTCAGTGCGTGGCGGCATTTTTTGAGCACTTCGAGGGTGAGCGGGCCCACCCGCGACTTGAATGTCACGCAGAGAGGCGCGGGCGGGGCCCCCAGGACCGAGCCCTCAAACTAAGGTTCGACGCCCTGGGGCCCGCTGCCCCCGCGCGCTGCGCAGCGGCAGCCCAAACAGGTCTCACACCGCGCCCCGCGGCGCACGGCGGGGGCCCGCCAGGAGAGCGCAGTTGACTCCGCGCCCCGCGCCGCCCCTGGGGTTGGGGCCCACGCCGCGCCCACGGCTCACAGCAGCTTGCGGGGGCCATGTCCCGCGCGGGTCGCCGCGGACTGGACCGCTCGAACCCGCCGCGCCAGGATGCCCACGCGCGCCGTGCCCGCTGCCCCCTTGCAGCTCGCCGTGGCCGCCACGCAGCAGTCACTACCGTCGCGGGGGCCGATCCGACAGGTGGGCCAACTCAAGCGCCCCGACATGGAGGCGGAGCCAGGCCTGCCGCCGCGGCTCCATCTCGCCCACCTGCACATGGGGCTGCCGCAGATCGTGCGCCTCGCCGCCAGGGAACCTCAGCGCGTCGCGCAGCGCGTCCGCCTCGGCCTCGTGCCCCAAGTTGTCGCGGAAGTCTGTCTCGCCAGCCTCCACAAACCTTCTTTCGATCGCCGCCGCCCCCGCCACAGAGAGCGACGCGATCTCCTCGGCATCTGCGGCGGTGATGCGACCCTCCCTTGCCGCTCGGTGGAGCTCCTCCAGGTAGTGCACGGCGTCAACGCTGTCCACGGTCAGATCCATGGAGCACAGCCTCGCGCCCACCAGTTCGTGCACCTCTCGCGCGCCAGCCAGCTCCCGCACCCGCGAGGCTTGGGCTGCTAGCCGCGCGAATCGCGCCTGGAGGCTCTCGAACGCCTCGGCCCTCTCCAGCAGGAAAGCCCGCTCGAGGCGCCTCCCGCGCGGCTCCTCCTGCTGATCGTCCGACTCCTGGCCCCTCGCTCCTGCGGCTCCCTCGTCGTGCAGGGGCTCCTCAGCGTCGGGCACTCCGAGCCAAGCGCAAGCCACGCTCGCCCGCGCACGCCACCAGGTGGCCCCCACAACGGCATCGCCGCGCACGGCAACTGCGACCCTCTCCTCGCGCGGTGGGTCGTTGCCTCCGCTGCTTAGCACCACCGCATCGTAGCGGACCAAGTACTCCAGGACGTCGCAGCTGGGCCCCGAAGAGGTGGCGGGACTGGCAGAGCAGGCCAGGGCCCCGTCCGCGTCTCCCGTACCAAGCCCCGCACCTAGGCCGCTCTCTTCGCTGCTGCAACAAACGCCCTCGCAGTCCTCACAACTGCTGGCCACGGCATACGGCGACGGGCCGAAGGCACCTGTGGCAGGGTCCTCAGCACCAGCACCGGCATCCGTCTGCCCCTCGTGCTCCACCCGCACGCCTTCAATGAGCACCTCGGAAGCGGCGTGCCCGTCCTGCACCCCCTGGCCCCGTGGCTCGGGGATGAACGACACGGCGTCCTCCCGAAGTGGGCAGGCCTGCAGCGTGAGCACGGACCCGAGGGAAGTCGCAGGGACGCCGCGCGGCATGGCAGGGGCCCTGCGGGCGCCTGGCGGGGCAGCGTGGCGAGACCAATTCGCCGCTCCCAATAGCGACTGCACATCCCCGAAGTCGATCGGCAAGTCGGACTGGCCTGCGAGCACCTGGGCGGCGGCGAGGGCCTCCCCCATGCTCGCAAAGTGGGCGCCCAGCGCGTCGCTGACGGCCCAGTGCGCCGCGAGGCCCGCCCTCAGGGATTTCGTCCTCCAGGCGAGGCGCACGCTCGGGACACCCCAAGCTCGCCGCGCCTCCGCATGCGCAGGCGCCTCGCCAGCGTGCGCGCCGAAGCAGCCGCCCACGCCGCGCCGCCAGGCGCCTCCATCGGCCACTTGCACGCTCCCGAGGCGCCCGACGGGCGCGCAGCACGATCGCCTCCCGCAGCCAGGCTCACTTGAGCCAAAATGGTTACGGACGGTGGCGGTATTGGATAAGAAAACCTTCGATAAGGAATCCAGGGTGCGGAGGCTGGTGGAACTCCAATCGAGGCTTGGCCATGGATACCACCGCCGCCCTCATCAGATAAGGAACCCTCCAGGGTCTGAGACCTCCTGGGCATGTTCCTTAACGAACGCCCCCACCGTCTTATGATGATGGTTATGATTCTGATTATGATGATTATGATTATTACTATTATCGATATGGTTATCAATATGAATGCTCTTCTTCCTCTTCTTCTCATGTTTGTTTTCTCTTCTGCTCGGGGGGTCGGGGATCTTCTGACCCGGGTCAATCCAGACCCGGGTCAGCAGGAAAACAAAAACTGCAATGCAAGAAAAACAAACTGCAACGCAGGTCCTCGCAAACCCGGGTCAGCCAATAGACGCGGCCGCCTCGCGGCCACGAGCGGCTCCCTAACCCGGGTCAGCCAGAGGGGGTCCGGCGCCGTGGCTGACCCCCGTTTGCATTGACCCCCGTCTCAAGGCTCCCGAGGGGGGCTCCACGGGGTGCGGCCGGGGAGCCTCGCACGCGCGGGGGCCCAAGGGGGGGGGGCGCCCCGGGGGCCCCACCGCAGGAGGCCCGCGGCGTCGCGGGGGCCCGCCGCCGCGGGGCCCACAGGTGGCGCCTGCCGTGCGGGAGCTCGGGGGCAGGGGCCCGGGGGCGCCCCCGTCGCGGGAGGCCCGCGGCGCCGTGGGGGCCCGGCGCCACGGCGGCCCAGGGCGGCGTCGGTCCTGGCTTCGCGGAAACGCATCGTTTTCAATGGGATGTTCTCCTGCGCTTGTTCCGGCAGCTCGTCTCCGGGGGCCCGCGGCGTCGTGGGGGCCCTTCGCCGCCGGGCCCACGGGTGGCGCTGGGGTTGGTCGCGCAGAGACGCAGCGACGCTGAAAATCATCAGGCGCCTGCGGCAGGTTTTCAATCACATGTTTTGTTCCTGTTGTTCCTGTAACCCGTCCGAGGGGGACCGCGGCGTCGTCGTCGTGGGGGCCCATTGGTGGCACTGGTCTTGGCTGCGCAAAAACGGTTTTCACACTTACCATGTCGGCGCCTGCGGCGGGCTGTTTCTGTGTTCAGTTCACAACGCCTGGGGCCGAGACCACAACAACCCCTCACTCCTATCCGCACTTGCGGGGGGTATGGTATCTTTCACGGCGCGTCGAACCTCGGTCGTCGATCCTCGAACCTCGAGGCCACCTGACTTCGCGCATCGCGCCCACCGATGCGCGATTATCTTCGCGCCCTCCCGCCCCCACGCCGCCCCCTTTTTGGAGAAGGGCAACCGTTCTTCCAGTATCTGGGCCAGACCGCGACGCGCGACGCGCGGGGATCCTCGCGCCCCCGCGGGCGCCCTGGGTCGCCCTGCCCTTCGCCCCCACGCAGATCATTCCCCCATGTAAGCCACCCCTGTAACTGGGCGGAAATCCAGCAGCACGCTCTCATAGGATCGAGCAGCCCACTGCACTCTGAGGGCTATGACGCCCTACGAGCCTCCGATGGAATCGTCCATAGCAGGATTTCTTGTGAGGTAGCCTGCTTGCGAGCGACTGCCAACTTTTACATAAAAAAAACACACCCCGTTACCACCCGCAAGCTCTCTGGGACAAGCCTTTTGACGGACCCGGGGGCCCAGCGAGGGCCAGACAACTGCACGCAAAAGCCCATCCGCCGTGATATGCTTCCACAGCGCGCCGACTCTTGACCTGGGGACACCCCAAGGCACCGAGATATCGTTCTGCCCAGACTCCTGAGGCGACGTCAACCGTGGCGACGAGGGCCCCCCAGGAGGCCCAACAGGGCGAACACGTGAGAAGGGTAGGGGTATCAGTGCGGCCCTGGTCCGAAATCGTTCCGCCTGCTGCAGCAACCCCGCAGCTTTGTGCTATCTGGGGGCGCGCCTGGCCGCGGTATACCTCCGTGGACGTGCCGAGGTGCAGCGGCCCCCCCCCACGGGCATAGACCCCGCTTTGGAGCGCACTCGAGGAGCTAGGGCAATTCTTCATCCCCCTTCGACTTCGGCGAAGCGAGACCCGTGCTCCTGATGAGACCGCCGCCGCCTTCCTCCTCCTCCCTCATCCTCCTGTTCCCCCTCCCCCCGCCCCCGTGTCGGATCGGTTCTATATACATCTAACGGGGGGACCGGGTCTGGGGGCCGGGGGCCGGGACCCCGACCGCAAATGTGGGGCCCGGCGCGCCGGGCCCGCCTCTGGGAGGCCCAAAAAATCGCCCTGGGGGCCTCGGACAGCACTCCCGGCGGCCCCAGACGGTCTCGAGATCGCCACCTCCGAGGATCGCCAAAGCCTCGAGGCCTCGAGGCCTCGGGGGCTCCAGCGGCGGAGGGGCCTCGGGGGCCCAGCGCAGGCCCCAAGAGCCAAGGAGCACTGCAGCAACACCAGCCGCCCCGGTATCGTTCCCCAGCGCATCGGACCTTGTCCGTCAGGAGGAGGAGGAGGAGGAGGAGGAGGACGAGGAGGAGGAGGAGGAGGAGGAAAGGAGGAGGAGGAGGACGAGGAGGAGGAGGAGGAGGAGGAGGAGGAGGCGAAGCCTCGAGCCCTGGAGCGGCGAAGGGGCGGCCGCCGCGCCTCCTGGCGCTGGGCGGCGTCGCGGCGCGCCTCGAGCTCTGCCGCTCGCGCCTCTCGGGCCTCCGCCCTCAGCTTCTCCGTGCTCCTGCGGCGCTCGTCGTCGTCGACGTCGTCGTCGTCGTCGTCGCCGTCGCCATCGCCATCGAACGTCGCCGTCGCCGTCGCCGCCGCCGTCGTCATCGTCGTCGCCGTCGTTGGGGTCGCCCTCGCCGCCGTCGAAGTCGTCGCCGTCGCCATCGCCGTCGCCGTCCTCGCCGCCGTCGTCGTCGTCGTCGCCGTCGCCCTCGCCGTCGCCGTATGCGTCGCCGTCGCCGTAGTCGTCGCCGTAGCCAATGCCGTGGCAGTAGCTGTCGTCGTCGTCGCCGTCACCGTCGCCGCACTCGCCACCACCGTCGCCGTCGCCGTCGCCGTCTTCCTCGCCGTCGTCGTCGATGTGGTCGAGGTCTCAGTCGGTCGCCGTCGTCGTCGTCGTCGTCGCCGGCGCCGTCGTATTCGCCGTCGTCGCCATGGTAGTCACCACCGTCGTCGTCGTCGTCGTCGTCGTGGTCGCCGTCGCCGTCGCCGCCGCCGCGGTTGCCGTCGCCGTCGCCGTCGTCGTCGCCCACGCCGTCGTCGTCGTTGCGGCCGTCGTCGTCGCCGTCGTCGGCGTCCCCGCCGACGTCGAAGCCCTCGCCATCACCATCACAATCGTCGTCATCGTCGTGGTCGCCGTCGCCATCGCCGTGGCCGTCGTCGTCGTCGTCGTCGTCGTCGTCGTCGCCGTGGCCGTCGTCGTCGTCGTCGCCGTCGGCGTCGTCGTTGACGTCGTCGTCGCCTTCGCCGTCGCCGACGTCGTCGACGTCGTCATCGTTGTCGTCGTCGTCGTGGACGACGCCGTCGTCGTCGTCGTTGTCGTCGCCGTCGCCGTCGCCGTCGTCGTCACAGTCGTCGCCGTCGTCGTCATCGTCGACGTGGTCGTCATCGTCGTCAACGCCGTCGACGTCGTCGTCGTCGTCGGTTTGCCGTCGTCCTGGGTCTGTCGTCGTCATCAGTGAGTCGTCGTCGTCGACGTCGTCGTCGGCGTCGTCGTCGTCGACGTCGTCGTCGGCGGTCACCTTCGCCGCCGTCGCCGTCGCCGTCGCCGTCGCCGCCGCCGTCGTCGTCGGCGTCGCCGTCGTCGTCGCCGCCTACGTCACCGTCGTCGTCATCGTCGTCATCGTCGTCCGTTGTCGTCTTCGTCGTCGTCGTCGGCGTCGTCGTCGCCGCCGCCGTCGCCGTCGCCGTCAAACGTCGACCGTCGCCCTCGCCGTCGACGTCGCCGCCGCCGTCGTCGTCGTCGCCGTCGTCGTCGTCGCCGTCGGTTGACCGTCGTCCTCGGTCTGTCGTCGTCATCAGTGAGTCGTCGTCGCCGCCGTCGTCGTCGACGTGGTCGTCGAGGTCACCGTCGTCGTCGTCGACGTCGCCGCCGCCGTCGTCGTCGTCACCGTCACCTTCGCCGCCGTCGCCGTCGCCGTCACCGTCGCCGCCGCCGTCGTCGTCGCCGTCGCCGTCATCGTCGCCACCGGCGTCACCGTCGTCGAAATCGTCGTCATCGTCCGTTGTCGTTGCCGTTGTCGTCGTCGTCGTCGTCGCCATCGCCGTCGCCGTCGCCGTCGCCGTCGAACGTCGTCCTCGCCGTCGACGTCGACGTCGCCGCCGCCGCCGTCGTCGTCGCTGTCGTCGTCGTCGCCGTCGGTGTGCCGTCGTCCTCGGTCTGTAGTCGTCATCAGTGAGTCGTCGTCGTCGCCGCTGTCGCCGTCGCCGTCGCCGTCGCCGTCGCCGTCGCCGCCGCCGTCGTCGTCACCGTCGTCGTCATCGTCGTCGTCCGTTGTCGTCGCCGTTGTCGTCGTCTTCGTCGTCGTCGTCGTCGTCGTCGCCGTCGCCGTCGCCGTCGAACGTCGCCGTCGCCGTCGACGTCGTCGTCGCCGCCACCGTCCTCGTCGTCGTCGTCGTCGCCGTCGTCGTCGTCGCCGTCGGTTTGCCGTCGTCCTCGGCCTGCCGTCGTCATCGTTGTCGTCCTCGTCGTCGCCGCTGTCGCCGTCGCCGTCGTCGTCGCCGTCGCCGCCGCCGTCGTCGCCGTCGCCGCCATCGTCGCCGCCGACGTCACCGTCGTCGTCATCGTCGTCGTCGTCCGTTGTCGTCGCCATCGTCGTTGTCGTCGACGCCGTCGCCGACGCCGTCGCCGTCGCCGTCGAAAGTCGCCGTCGCCGTCGACGTCCTCGCCGTTGTCGTCGTCGTCGTCATCGTCGACGGCGTCGTCGTCGTCGTCGCCGTCATCGTCGTCGTCGGTTCGCCGTGTCCTCGGTCCGTCGCTGGTCCGTCGGCAGTGGGTCGCCGTCGTCGTCACCGTCGTCGTCGGCGTCGTCGCCGCCGTCGCCGTCGCCGTCGTCGTCGTGGTCGTCGTCGTCACCGTCGTCGTCGTCATCGTCATGGCTGCGCGCCCCGTAAATAAGTGTCGTCGCCGTCGCCGTCGTCGTAATCGTCGTAATCGCCGCCTTTATCGTCGTCGTTATCATCGTCGTCGTCGCCGCCTGCGTCGTCGTCGTCTTCGTACTCAACGTCGTCTTCGTACTCAACGTCGCAGTCGTCGTCGTGTCGTCGACGTCGGTTCGCCGTCGTCCTCGGTCCGTCGTCGGTCCGTCGTCAGTGCGTCGTCGTCGTCGCAGTCGCCGTGACCGTCGCCGACGCCGTCTCCGTTGCCGTCGCAGTCACCGTCACCGTCGCCGTCGTCGTGGTCGTCGTCGCAATCGTCGTGGGCGCGCCCAGGGGAACAGGCGGCGGGGCTTCTCCGGAGCCCTCTGCGTTCGGAGAATGCTCGGCAAGCCTCTCGCAAGGCTGGGGGGGGCCTCCGAGCCTTCTGGCAAGCCCTGGCCTCGCTGCCTCGTTCCCCTCTCGGCGCGCAGCCGATTGGCTCTCTTCCCCTCTCGGCCCGAAGGCCAAAGGTGGAGGAGGAGGAGGAGGAGGAGGAGGGAGGAGGGAGGAGGGAGGAGGGACGCGGAGGAGGCGGAGGAGGGAGAAGAAGGAGGGAGGAGGAGGTCGCCGAACATTTCCAGCATCTCCTGCCCGTCTGGGCCTCCAGAGGGCCTCTGGAGGCCTCCTGGGGCCTCCGTGCGCCAGGGGCGCTGACGCCCCTCCAGGCGTCAGAGCCTTTCACCGTGTCGCTGGCGCCGCCACTGGGAGGCCTTCTCCCCCGCCTCCTCCTCCTCCTACTACTCCTCCTCCTCCGCCTCCTCCTGCTTCTCCTCCTCCGCCCCCTGCTTCTCCGCCTCCTCCTCCTTCCCCTCCTCCTCCTCCTCCTCCTCATCCTCCGCTCCTCCTCTCCTCGTCCTCCTCCTCCTCCTCCTCCTCCTCCTCCTCCTCCCTCCTCCTCCCTCCTCCTCCTCCTCCTCCTCCTCCTCCTCCTCCTCCTCCCCTCCCCCTCCTCCCTCTCCCCCCTCCCCCTCCCCTCCCCCTCCCCTCCCCCCTCCCCCTCCCCCTCTTTTCCTCCTCCTCCCTCCCTCCTCCTCCTCCTCCTCCTCCTCCCTCCTCTCCTCTCCTCCTCCTCCTCCTCCCTCTCCTCCTCCTCCTCCTCCTCCTCCTCCTCCTCCTCCTCCTCCTCCTCCTCCTTCTCCTTCTCCTCCTCCTCCCCCCCCTCGCTCGCCGTTGACCGGAGGGCTGTTCGTTCTTCTGGACTCGGCCCGACGGCAGAGACCACCCCCGCCGCCGCTCGCGCAGGCGCGGCGGGGGGACGTGAGGCAACCACCGACCCCCCCGGCCCTCCGCCTCCGCGAGCGGCCGGGGGGCGGGGGGGGGGGCAGAAGATCTCGAGCCTGAGCTTGGCTCGGAAACCGTTCTCAGCCCCCTGGGGCCGTCAAAAGACAACCCTGGATGAAAGCCTTGTCATTCTTGGCGAGGACGGCGGGCGGCGACGACCGGTGACGGACCGACGGACCGACGACGGACCGAAAGACCGACGACCGACCGACGACCGACCGACGACCGCGACGACGTCGACGCCGACAGCGGCGAGAACGACGGCGACGGACCAACGACGACGAACCGACGGCGACGGACCGTCGACGGACCGACGTCGGACCGACGTCCGACGCACGACCGACGGTGACGGTCGACGACGTCGACGTCGACGACGGCGTCGAGCACTGGAGCAGCGCAAATGGAAACAACGGCATCTTAAAATCCATCTCCTGGACCTTTCCCTGTGCCCAAACGCACGGGCTGTCCTAGCTTGAGGTCGGGCATGTCCCCCTACAGGCGGGTTTTGGAAGAAAACCAAATGTGTCAGAAAAAAATCCACCGAAATCATCAAACCTACGGAAAATCGTGCCCGTATTCGTTTGAACTATTTTTGAATAATCTGAAGGGGCCCAAGGACACACAAATAAATACACACAATTAAGAATATGCCCAATATTTTCTTATATTTTCTGGGTTTTTGTCTTCCCCCCCCACTTACCATATTTTCCTATATTCTCCTGGAACTCGACGATTAATTGTGTCTGTGTGTTTTTTCCCTCCTGGTTAATCATCCTGTAGAGGGACAGGCCCAATTTAATCCTGGCTGGGCCCAGCCGTGGCGGCGAGAGGGCCCCCCGAAGACCCACTGCCGCTGTCTCCACTCGCCCTGTTCCGGAGAGGACGTCGGCGGCGGACCGAACGGCCGTTGCACCCATCGATGGCCCGACGAATGACCGACGACCGTCGGCGACGGCGGCGACGTCGACGCCGACGGCGTCGAGGACGTCGGCGGCGGACCGAACGGCCGGTGGGCAGCCGCCGGGAACCCACGGAGGTGCCAGAAGAAACGTCGAAGCCCTGAGGTTGCGAAACGCCGGCGGCGAAACGCCGGCAGCGGACCGAACGACCGCCCGCCCGACCTTGGCGGCGCGCACAAGGGGCGAGGGGATGGTGTCAGGGCTTCTCAGAACGAGGCCGCTCAGAAGGCGCCGGCCTTGCATCTGTAGATCAGGCCCCGCGCCTTCCGAGAAGCAGCCTCCTTCTATGAGAAGCCTTCCCCCCCCTGTCCCCCCTCCCCAGCGTCCCCATGTCGAGATTTGTTCAAGACGGGGCCCCTGGAAGTCTTGACCCATTCCCGAGACCGGCTCTCCATCCTGAGCCGTTTCTTGAGGGGCCCGGGGCCCGGCGAGGGCCTCCAGAGGGCCTCCAGAGGCCGAGAACGCGGACAAGAGGGCATCCAAAAGCAGAAAAATAAAAATTACCGTGGCGACGTACCCAACCCCTGCGCAATGCGGGGCATGAGTAGCTTGGAAGACGTTATGCAGAGGTGATGACGTGACAAGGGCGCATATACTTCTGCGACCGGCATTCGTGAGGCTCCAAGCCCCCCAAGGATTGCCATGTCTCGCTCAGATCTGCCTGGTGCCCCGCTCCGCTGAATCCGCCACCAGCCTTCAAAAATTGCGACGGTTTCGCAGATCGCAGCCCCCCACAGACGGCGAGGCCCCGCTCAGATCTGCGCGATGCCTCACTCCGCTGGACCCACCAGCAGCCCACGAAAGTGGCGACAATTTCGCAGATCGCAGCCCCCCAGGGACGGCGAGGTCCCGCTCAGATCTGCGCGGTGCCTCACTTCGCAGGATCCACCAGCAGCCCTCGAAAGTGGCGACAGTTTGGCACATCGCAGCCCCTCAGGGACGGCAAGGTCCCGCTCAGATCTGCGCGGTGCCTCACTCCGCTGGACCCACTAGCAGCCCTCGAAAGTGGCGACGGTTTCGCAGATCGCAGACCCTCAGGGACGCCAAGGTCCCGCTCAGATCTGCGCGGTGCCTCACTCCACTGGACCCACCAGCAGCCCTCGAAAGTGACGACGGATTCGCAGATCGCAGCCCCCCAGGGACGGCGAGGTCCCGCTCAGATCTGCGCGGTGCCTCACTTCGCAGGACCCACCAGCAGCCCTCGAAATTGGCGACAGCTTGGCACATCGCAGCCCCTCAGGGACGGCAAGGTCCCGCTCAGATCTGCGCGGTGCCTCACTCCGCTGGACCCACCAGCAGCCCTCGAAAGTGGCGACAAGGTCGCAGATCGCACCCCCCCCCGGGACGGCGAGGTCCCGCTCAGATCCGCGCGGTGCCTCACTCCGCTGGACCCACCAGCAGCCCTCGAAAGTGGCGACAATGTCGCAGATCGCAGCCCCTCAGGGACGCCAAGGTCCCGCTCAGATCTGCGCGGTGCCTCACTCCGCTGGACCCACCAGCAGCCCTCGAAAGTGACGACGGATTCGCAGATCGCAGCCCCCCAGGGACGGACAGGTCCCGCTCAGATCCGCGCAGTGCCACACTCCGCTAGACCCGCCAGCAGCCTTCGAAAGTGGCGACAGTTCCGCAGATCGCCATGCTGCCCCCCCAACAAGCCCTCGAAAGTTGCGACGGTTTCGCAGATCGCAGCCCCCCAAAGACGGCAAGGTCCCGCTCAGATGTGCGCGGTGCCTCACTCCGCAGGACCCACCAGCAGCCCTCGAAAGTGACGACAGTGTCGCAAGTCGCACCCCCCCAAGCACGGCGAGGTGTCGCTCAGATCCCCGCGGTGCCTCACCCCGCAGGACCCACCAACAGCCCTCGAAAGTGGCGACGGTTTCGCAGATCGCAGCCCCCCAGGGACGGCGAGGTCCCGCGCAGATCTGCGCGATGCCTCACTCCGCTGGACCCACTAGCAGCCCTCGAAAGTGGCGACAATTTCGCAGATCGCAGCCCCCCAGGGGCGGCGAGGTCCCGCTCAGATCTTCGCGGTGCGTCACTCCGCAGGACCCACCAACAGCCCTCGAAAGTGGCGACGGTTTCGCAGATCGCAGCCCCCCAGGCACGGCGAGGTCCCGCTCAGATTCCCGCGGTGCCTCACTCCGCAGGACCCACCAGCAGCCCTCGAAAGTGACGACGGATTCGCAGATCGCAGCCCCCCGGGAACGGCGAGGTCCCGCTCAGATCCCCGCGGTGCCCCACCCCGCAGGACCCACCAGCAGCCCTCGAAAGTGGCGACACTGTCGCAGATCGCAGCCCCCCAGGGACGGCGAGGTCTCGTTCAGATCCCCGCGGCGCCCCACTCCGCAGGACCCACCAGCAGCCCTCGAAAGTGGCGAGAGTGTCGCAGATCGCAGCCCCCAGGGACGGCGAGGTCTCGCTCAGGTCTCCGCGGCGCCTCACTCCGCAGGACCCACCAGCAGCCCTCGAAAGTGGGGACAGTGTCGCAGATCGTAGCCTTCCAGAGACGGCGAGGTCTCGCTCAGATCTGCGCGGTGCCTCACCCCGCAGGACCCACCAGCAGCCCTCGAAAGTGGCGACAGCTTGGCAGATCGCAGCCCCCCGGGGACGGCGAGGTCTCGCTCAGATCTCCGCGGTGCCTCACCCCGCAGGACCCACCAGCAGCCCTCGAAAATGGCGACAGTTTCGCAAGTCGCAGCCCCCCAGGGACGGCGAGGTCTCGTTCAGATCCCGCGGTGCCTCACTCCGCAGGACCCACCAGCAGCCCTCGAAAGTGACGACGGATTCGCAGATCGCACCCTCCCAGGGACGGCGAGGTCCCGCTCAGATCCCCGCGGTGCCCCACTCCGCAGGACCCACCAGCAGCCCTCGAAAGTGGCGACACCGTCGCAGATCGCAGTCCCCCCAGAGACGGCGAGGTGTCGTTCAGATCCCCGCGGCGCCTCACTCCGCAGGACCCACCAGCAGCCCTCGAAAGTGGGTGGCGACAGTGTCGCAGATCGCACCCCCCCAGGGACGGCGAGGTCTCGCTCAGATCCCCGCGGTGCCCCACTCCGCAGGACCCACCAGCAGCCCTCGGAAGTGGCGACAGTGTCGCAGATCGCAGCCCCCAGGGGCGGCGAGGTCCCGCTCAGATCCCCGCCGTGCCCAACCCCGCAAGACCCACCCGCAGCCCTCGAAAGTGGCGACGGTGTCGCAGATCGTGATCCCCCAGGGACGGCGAGGTCTCGCTCAGATCCCCGCGGTGACCCACTCCGCAGGACCCGCCAGCAGCCCTGGGAAGTGGCGACAATGTCGCAGATCGCAGCCCCCCCAGGGACGGCGAGGTCCCGCTCAGATCCGCGCGGTGCCTCATCCCGCAGGGCCCACCAGCAGCCCTCGAAAGTGGCGACAGCTTGGCAGATCGCAGCCCCCCAGGGACGGCGAGGTCTCGCCCAGATCCCCGCGGTGCCTCACTCCGCTGGACCCACCAGCAGCCCTCGAAAGTGGCGACACTGTCGCAGATCGCAGCCCCCAGGGACGGCGAGGTCCCGCTCAGATCCCCGCGGTGCCTCACCCCGCAGGACCCACCAGCAGCCCTCGAAAGTGGCGACAGTGTCACAGCAGCCCCCCAGGGACGGCGAGGTGTCGTTCAGATCCCCGCGGCGCCTCACTCCGCAGGACCCACCAGCAGCACTCGAAAGTGGTCACACTGTCGCAGATCGCAGCCCCCAGGGACGGCGAGGTCCCGCTCAGATCCCCGCGGTGCCCCACTCCGCAGGACGCACCAGCAGCCCTCGGAAGTGGCGACAGTGTCGCAGATCGCAGCCCCCCCAGGGACGGCGAGGTCCCGCTCAGATCCCCGCGGTGCCTCACTCCGCAGGACCCACCAGCAGCCCTCGAAAGTGGCGACAGTTTCGCAGATCGCACCCTCCCAGGACGGCGAGGTCCCGCTCAGATCCCCGCGGTGCCTCACTCCGCAGGACCCACCAGCAGCCCTCGAAAGTGGCGACAGCGTCGCAGACCGCAGCCTTCCAGGGACGGCGAGGTCCCGCTCAGATCCCCGCGGTGACCCACTCCGCAGGACCCGCCAGCAGCCCTGGGAAGTGGCGACAATGTCGCAGATCGCAGCCCCCCAGGTACGGCGAGGTCCCGCTCAGATCCCCGCGGTGCAGGACCCACCAGCAGCCCTCGAAAGTGGCGACGGTGTCGCAGATCGTGATCCCCCAGGGACGGCGAGGTCTCGCTCAAATCCCCGCGGTGACCCACTCCGCAGGACCCGCCAGCAGCCCTGGAAAGTGGCGACAGTGTCGCAGATCGCAGTCCCCCCAGAGACGGCGAGGTGTCGTTCAGATCCCCGCGGCGCCTCACTCCGCAGGACCCACCAGCAGCCCTCGAAAGTGGGGACACTGTCGCAGATCGCAGTCCCCCCAGGGACGGCGAGGTCTCGCCCAGATCCCCGCCGTGCCTCACTCCGCAGGACCCACCAGCAGCCCTCGAAAGTGGCGACGGTGTCACAGATCGCAGCCCCCCAGGGATGGCCAGGTTCGCGCAAGGCAAGAGGAGACAAGACGGAAGCGGGAGGCGGAAGGCGGGATGAGGAGGAGAAGGAGGAGGAGGAGGAGGAGGACTGGAGACCGCAGTGCTCTATTCAAAACGAATACCCAGCCGAGGAGGGTTGGGAAAAACCTCCATCCACAGACCCCAGACGTCATGTTTTTGTCATACCGTCGACCCTCAGAAGTCTCGACCCATTCCCTAGTACCAGCGTCTGGTCCTGCAGCCGTTTTTTTGACGGTCCCGAGGGCCGGTGAGGGCCCTTGGACGCCCAAAATGGCGAAACAACTCCCGCCACGATTTTTCGTTGCCCGAGGGGGTCTGGTTCTTGATCTTTTCAGTGCGCACGATCTCTGGGTCTGCGCGTTGAAACCTACCAGACCACCACAACCCAACCCGAAGACCAAAATTCCGGGTTGGGGGGGAACGGGCTTCATACGTGTTTTTTGAATGTTCTCCGCCCCCCTCACCACACTGGAATTGGAAGGCAAATCGGGGCCTTCGGGTTGTAGGGGGAGGAGGAGGAGGAGGAGGAGCAGGAGGAGGAGGAGGAGGAGGAGGAGGAGGAGGAGGAAAAGGGGGAGGAGAAGGAGGAGGAGGAGGAGGAGAGGAGGAGGAGGGAGGAGGAGAGGGGAGGAGGAGGAGAGGGAGGAGGAGGAGGAGAAGGAGGAGGAGGTGGCGGTGACGCGTGGCCGACGACCGGCGGGTCCTCGCGAAGTCATCGCGCGCCGCCTGGCCCGGCTGGTTCGCCGGCCCCTCCAGGGCGACGGGCCCGCCCTCGGCGGCCCCGCCCGCGGCCTGGCCGGGGGGAGGGCTGCGCACGAGCGCCGCGGCGCGTCGCGAGGACGACGACGACGACGGCGACGACGGCGACGACGACGGCTGCGAGGACGGCGACGACGACGGCGACGACGGCGACCACGACGGCGACGGCGACGGCGACGGCGACGACCACGACGGCGACGACGACGGCGACGACCAAGACGGCGACGGAGACGGCGACGCCGACGGCGACAACGACCGACGTCGACGCGAAGGGAAACTCCTCAGCCGGGAATGAACTCCGTCACCAGCGCGGGCCCGGGGAAGGATCAGGGGTCGAGGAGCAGGAAGGTCCTCGAGGAGCGGGGCGCCCCGAGGGACGTCGAGGATGGAAGGCCCTCGATCGAGGAGGGCCGAGGCTCGAGGGGAGGGGAGGTCGAGGACCGAGGCGGGCCGAGGACCGAAGGAGGTCGAGGACCGAGGAAGGTCGAGGACCGGGGAAGGTCGAGGACCAAGGATAGGGGAACAAAAAGCGGCATAAACATAAAAACTCGGAGGTCCGCGCGGATTTCTCGGATCGGCGCTGGACCCCTCTCCCTGGCGCGCGGAGCGCGCCAGGGGCGGCGCCGGAGGGGCCGCCGGGGGGCCCCAGCGCCGATCCGAGGAATCCGCGTGGACCTCAGAGTTTTCATGTTTATGTCACTTCTTGATCCCCTAAAGGAAGGTCGAGGATCGAGGAAGGTCGAAAGTCGAGGGTCGAGGAATGCAAACCTTCGTGCGCCTCTGGGCCAGGGCGGCGCTCCCTGCGGCCACGGCTTGGTTTTCCCCATCCGGCCGAGACGCGCGGCACGTCATATGCGGGAATCGGACGAGGAGGAGGAGGAGGAGGAGGATGAGGAGGAGGACCAGTGTAAAACCAAGAGTCGCCAACGATGCTTGAATTAACCCTCCCTCCAAGCTCCCTCTCCATAGGCGCCCACAACGGTTCATTCCCATTGAGGGAACTGCCTCGTTGGAAGACAACCGTTTGAAGATCCGAAAGTATGCCAAAACATGATTCTCGGGATTCCGACGCCACGTATCAACCTGACTGCTGCGTCTTGACGATCTGGAATCGTGCTGGAGCGCAATTTTTGGAACTCCGACACAGCGAATTAACATAACTGCTGCACCCGCATAACCCCGAATCCTTCCAAAACACAAGCTCTGGTACGTTGGTCATGGGAATCAGTGAAACTCGTGCAAGGTGAAAAAACGAATGTGCACGGCGCTAATGCGGGAGCCACATTTTGAAAACGACCCGCCCTCAATCCGTGAAACTCTTGCACATGTTCAAAACGAATGTGCGCGGCGCTAAGACGAGAGCCACATTTTGAAAGCCACCTGCCCTCAATCCGTGGAAACCTTGCACATGTATAAGCGGCGCTAAGGCGAGAGCCACATTTTGAAAACCACCCGCCCTCAATCCGTGAAACCATTGCACATGTTTAGAACGAATGCGTGCGGCGCTCAGGCGAGAACCACACTTTGAAAACCACCCGCCCTCAATCCGTGAAACCCTTGCACATGTTTGAAACGAAATGCGTGCGGCGCTCCGGCGAGAGCCACACTCTGCGAACGACCCGCCCTCAGCCCGTGAAACTCTTGGCACCTTTTGACAGCGAGCGTGCGCGGCACGAAGACGAGAGCCACACTTTGAAAGGGGCCCGCCCTCCACCTGTGAGATTGTTGCCATTTTTTTTTCTTTGCCGAAATGGCCCGAGGCCGCCATGCGAACCCTGCCACTGGCGCCTTCGGTGGAGCTCCCTATGGGGCCACGATCCTCGTGAGGGGTGTGCCGAAATGGCCCGAGGCCGCCATGCGAACCCTGCCACTGGGGGCCTTCGGTGGAGCTCCCTATGGGGGAAAAAAAATCGTGCATGGTGAAGACGTCTCAAGCGAAACGCCTAGGAGGAGGGGGAGGAGGAGGAGGAGGAGGAGGAGGAGGAGGAGGAGGAGGAGGAGGAGGAGGAGGAGGAGGAGGAGGAGGAAGGAGGAGGGAGGGGGAGGATGAGAGGGGAAGGGGGAGGAGGAGGAGGAGGAGGGTGGCGAGGCGGAGGAGGGAGGGAAGGCTTCTTCTCCGAGCTTGCCCTGTGCGGGCCCCTGCTGGAAGCGGAGGAGGGGGGAGGCGGAGCAGGAAGGGAGTGTTTCGTCGCCGATGTCGGCCTCTGCGGGCCTTTGCCGAGGGCGGAGTGGGGGTAGGCGTAGCCTGAGGCGCGAGGCAGTGGAACGGAGGCGGGAGGGGAGGAGGAGGAGGAGGGGGAGGAGGGGGAGAAGGAGGAGGAGGAGGAGGAGGAGGAGGAGGAAGAGGAGGAGGCGGCGGAGGTCGGTCAGGCACAGAGACTGGGAACGCGAGGGGGCCCTGGGGAGCCATACGCTCCAAGATGGCGAGTCGTGGGTTCGCTACATACGGAGACCAAAGCGATTGGCCATTTCGAGGG